CGTGCGCAATCTCTGACGTGCGGCTGTGATTTATAAAGGAAAGATGCGCAGAAACATGCGTACACACCGTTTTATAAATCTGAAATTTTTTTGGCATATGCCATTTCCGCCTTTTGGCCGTACGTTCACTTTTAGTATGGTTTCCACGCAATCCTTTATAAATGAGACCCCAGGTGATTAGCAGGCTTCTGTAGAATTTAAGGAGGTGATTCGATCATGCAGGATTGCAGTTCTCAGGAACCAGGATTGGACACTGCCGACAAAGGGCGTGTCATTCACCTCCTTTGATTTTATTAGTTATACTGGTCAAAACCAGCAGAAAGCCTCAGATGTACCTGGCAAATGACTGGACAGCTTGAGTTTTCATGTTTTACACTGAAATCCTATAAATTAATAAATTGGTTGAATAGCTTATTCATAATGTTTTATTTGCAGAATTCAACCCATGTTGTTTTCAAAAGCTACTTGACCAGATGGATAAACGTTGCAGTCAGAGTCAAGGGTGGAGCTAGATTTTTTATCTGCCAGGGGTGGCACAGGGGTGGGGACATACAAATAAATAAACGTCCTCTGAATTTTAAAATTCAAGATGGCCACCCTACCTAATTCCAAAAAAACTGAGCTGAAATGTGTGATTAAAGCTAAGAATAAAATAATAATAATAATAAAAACCATGCTGAATGCTTGTCACAACTTATTATTCAGCCATTTTTAGACATACACTGCTGTGCAGAAGTGTAGAAATACAAATGCAATCTTCATAAATCCTAAATACTAATAAAAAATGCAAGATAACCACCACAGCTAACTTTAAAAGACTATATTTCAGCAATTTTAAGACGTAAGTTGACTTTGTGGTGGAGTAGTTAAGAATGATCACATCAGTTACTGATGCTAATCCCAAATCAAGCTAACAATTTATGTCAAAATTAATTTCACAAAGGGTTATAATTCATCCAATTTTAAACATACACAGCAGTAGTATCAGAGAACAATATTTAACAATATCTAAATGAAAATACAAAGATCCATATCCACTTGGTATTTATTTGAGAGTGGCACTTAGGGTGGCCAATTAGGTGCCCGGGGTGGCCACCCCTTTGGCTCCGCCCCTGGTCCAAGTTGGTCACAGCTTTAGCTTTATGATAATTTTTCATGCTTATTGTCCGCTGTTCATTTCACTGAGCAAACTGCCTCCTGGGTGCCTCACCTTATATTCCCACACATGCAGTGTCAGATACAGAGGCATTCAAGACAAATAAACCTGACAATAAAATGAGATGAGGAATGCATGTTTGCCTTTACATACGAGGCAGTTTAAATGGAATTTGGGCTGATGTTACCTCAGGCAAAAAGTGTCAAGGATGTCTTGGTTGTTTCACAATTCTTGCTGAAGGCAAAAAGGTATTTCAAGGACAATGGTCTGTTTTCATTTATCTGTTTCTAGTTTTACTTTACAGCTTAAATGCAAAAGTACATTTGTTTTATTTCTGATGTAAATTTTATAGAACTTAAAAAAAGTTATGTTTAGTTAGAATAAAACTTCTGATCTTACTTTTTCCCRTACAGTGTACTGTAACTGCAAATTCAGTAAAGATAATTCTAAATACTGTTACACAACCGGATGTTCAACTTACAGCAAGTTACTCTTTTGGTGTGCAGAAAAGCAAAATGTTTTCTAATATGGTCTATTTAAAAACAGACAAGCAAACAAGAAAATAATCAAGTAAGCAGAAAGTTTAGGCAATGTTACTGCAATTCAACTAAAGCTGGTGGTAGACCAGCAGCTGTAGGTRAAATTGCTGTCATAAGGGTTAGTGTTGTCTTTTATGGCATTCAGAAAACACTTCAAAATCACCAGTATCATTCATTAAAATAAACATGTGATCTAACCTAAAGGAAGTGTCGTCTGTGGGGATGTAACGATTCACTCAAGGCCTGATTTGGTTCGATTATCGATTTAAAAGTTCATAATTATGATTTTTTTCTTTTTTTTAACCAACGATACCATTTGTAGTCATTTTATAACAATATGTTTCTTTTATTTAAACTTCAGCATGTTTGTCCTTGTATCAAACTGTAAATAATGTTTTAGTAACAGAATATAACTTCAAAATATATAAAAATGTCATCACAAATCCTTTCGTGACCAAAAGTCTCAAACTGAATTTGCTTTTAGAGACATAACTTATTGTTATACTATAACAATGAAATCATTTCATTCATATTTATGAATCGATTCACAGTTTAAGCAGTTATATAGATTTTCAATCGATTCTTGATTAATAACGTCATGTCTGGTTGTTGTTTTTAGCACAAACTTCCCAGTTTAAAGTAGGAAGACACTAATGAAATTTTGTTGATACCTCAAACTGCAGTAAAGACTGAGTATCAAATGTGTTTTTTGAAGAAAGGCATATTATGTTAAGCATCTCATGGAACCTTCATTTTTCTGCAGTTACTTTTAATTCTTCAACATGAAACAAAAAAAACTGCGATGTGTTGGTCATCATGAGCTGCAGAGTCTTATCTTTCCAACTAGAATGTTTTCTTCTACTTTTCAGATATTTTCTTGAACATAATTTATTCTGTAGCTTAATATCAAATCTGAACAGCACATCTTTATGTTTAGGAGGCTTTGCTTTACCTTTAGCAAATTGAACAGTTTTCCTGAAGAAACCTTACGTGACGGCAAGAAATATACAGTGTAACTAGATGGTTTTCATGAATATCTGCTTTCAGTTTGTTTCAACAAACTTTATTGACTGGTGTTCTGAATTCTAGTTTGGCTCTACGCAATGWAAGTCTCCATGATTCATCTGGTCTGCAGCTGCTTGTCCGTTGCTTTACAGGAAAAGCAGATTTGGACTCTCCAGTGTCTGTCGAATACTTTTGTAATAGCATTGTGTCGGATCTGTGCTCAAAAATGGAACTTGAGCAAAAGCATGCACCATTTTTTTAAAWCCTTGTATCCAGTACAGCAGTTTTTATTCTGTTTTGTAAAACTATAATGTTGGATGTGGCCACTATGATAAAAGTAAGAGAGAAAAAAAGATATTCCCCATATGCAACTCTTTGTTTCTACTTTAATTTCTGCATGATTCATTCTGACTGTAGTATCCAGGGCTTAGCACTGATGCCTTTTAGCATACTTGCTTTTGTAGAAACTCCCATGTGGACAGGTCCTTTAGCCATTTTCAAAGGTGTAACTTTAGGTCTACCATTTTGGGGGTAGACCTAAAGTTGCATGTCATTTTTAGCAATTATACTTAAACGTACATATATGACATCCTAATTTTTAAAAATCAGGTTAAAGTTACCTCAAGACAACAAGAGAGTTGCAGCTGTGCAATTAACCAGTTCATTTCTACTGTGTTTGAGCACTTAATGTAATTTTATTGGAGGGGGGGAGGGGGGTAGTGCATGCATGATTGTTTAGTTGTACATGACCCTGTGATAGACTGGAGACTTGTCCAAAGTATACTTGCTTGACCAAAGAGGCACCGTTTTTGGTGGCATTGAAGAGGATCAAACAGGTATAGAAAATAGATGGATGAACGATATCCAGTCTTATCAAGGCTTKTGTTTTCAATCTGAGGCAACCGTTTGTAGAAGTTTTGCAAAGCAATATTTTCTGTCTGAAATCCACTAAAATAAGTGGTTTATGGTTTTTAGGGAAACCTTTTCATTTTGACACATTGATCTTACTGGTGTCTCCTTTGTCTCACAGGTGTGGATATCCTCCATCGACTGGGGCTTACAGATCAAAGCAGCACAGACAGTCCCCAGGAGAGGACAGCCTCGCCTCAAACCACTTACACCAATGTTCCCCCGTTTCTGAATGCTCCACTTTCTGGATATGGGGTGTTATTAGACACGAACTCCATTTATGAGATTCCAGCAAGCAGTCTGTTCCATACAGAGTTTAGTGATGAATTTTCTTTTGTGATTAGCCTAAGCTCCTGGGGAGCGAGCAATGCTTTTCTTTTAAGTGTTAAAGATGGCGGGGACAGACTGCGTTTTGGCATTCAGCTATTACCCCACAGACTAGTGGTTTACACTGCAGAGCAATCCTCCATCTACTTCACCTACAGCTGGCAGGATGGGCAACAACATGCCTTYGCTGTTGGTGTTCGAGCTCGTTCGGTGTCCTTTTATGCGGATTGTGGACGGGTGCAGCAACGAGAGCAAACCCTGGCGAGAGCTCAGACTCTGGGGGAACCTGGGAGTCTCTTCACTTTGGGTAGGATGAACTCAAAGGCAGCTCCATTCAGTGGTCAACTTTGCCAACTGGATATCTATCCTTCAGSCCAAGCTGCCGCACACTACTGCAAATACCTTAAAAAACAGTGCCGGCTGGCCGACACTTATCGATCGCCTTTGCCACATTCTCATTTGGATATTAAGGCTAATAACCACCCTGCTCACTCTTCACCAAAGTCCCCTCTTGGACTGCCAACCATCCGTCATACTTCCACCAAAGTTACAACAACTTACAGAGCGTTATCACAGAGAAACCAACTTGTCACACAGTATTCAACCCCAAGCCCAACAACTCAGTTACACCTGAAGGAACCAAAACACATTTCGACACTGAAACCCCTCTCACTTCAACCTGAAGACCACACGCAAGCTCCTCCAAGAAGGCAAGCAATGCTGGATCTTTCCCACAGCACATCTGTCACAACCAACGAAAATGTCTTAGCAACTGGCAAAGGCAATCAGCCTCGAAGGGACATAGATCAGTCTGAGAACAGCACAGAGGAAGAGCGCAGACCCTGGAACCATCAGACTTCACAGGTTTTCCCAAGTCTGATATCCCCCGTCAGGCAAGGTCAAGTGAAGGAAGGACTCAGGAACAGCTTTGAGGACTCTGAACCTCGGCCCAAAGACACACGTCACGTTCTGGAGTTTCRTCGAAGAGCCAACAGCACCACTTTGTACAGGGAAAATCGGGTCGACACATCAGAACAACATGAGCTGGATGGCAGCTACGAGGACACAGACCTTGGAGTGTACGATTATGGATACGAGGAGTCAGAATTCCTTTATGACTATGAAGATGGATTTAATGGGCCTAAAGGAGAGCCAGGTCCTCCGGTAAGTGGCTAAATGTATGTGTACTTACAATCTGTAGCATTGAGAGACTCAAGATAGTCAATTATTTCAAATTACTGTACATCAAAATAAAATACAAGGAGAGAAACCGCTGTCATTTTAGCATGTCAAGATGATTATGGTATGTATTTGTAGTGGTTTAAAGGTAWATGTACTTTGCTGTTTTTTCCTTGAACAACATGGGCAAGCTAAAGTTCCAAAAACTTAGTTACAAAAATCTATTCCTACTTGTTCCTGTTCTTCTACTTCTACAGTATTTCTACTTCTACTACTTCTTCTCCTACTTTTACTACTTCCACTTATACTATTTCTACTACTTCTTCTATTTCTACATATGCTTCTGCTTTTCTACTACGTCTACGTCTCCTACTTCTACTAATTCAACTTATATTTTTACTTATTCTTTTTCTACTTCTACTACACATATCATTCTTTTACTTCTCCTACTTCTACTTCTACTTCTACTAGTTCTACATATACTTCTACCTTTTATATGTCTATTACTTGTACTTTTTCTTGTTTTCCTTCTTCTACTTCTACTACTTCAACTATTTTTTRCTTCCTCTACTTCTACATAAACTTCTACTTTTTTTGTTATTACATGTACTTCTCCTACTACTTCTACTTTTCTACTTCTACTTCTACAATATTTCTTCTCCTACCTCTACTTCTACATAAACTTCAAATTCTTCTCACACTTCTACTTCTACTACTTCTTCTACTGGTACGAATTCTACTTGTACGACTTCTACTTGTACATGTACTTCCTCTTTTACTTCTACTTCTTGTACTGCTATTACTACTACATATACATCTCCTACTACTACTTATTTTTCTGTTTCTAATTCTTCTACTACTTCTACTACAGTACTTATTCTTTTTCTACTTCATCTATTTCTACTTTTAATTATATTACTCTAACTACGTTTTCTTCTTTGTTTACCTCTTCTTCCTCTTCGTCTTCTTCTGTTAACGGAGGTTAATCYATATGAAGGTTGGAGATTTAGCCTCTGGCATTACAGCTTGCTGTCAGGATAACCCAGCCATCCAAACATATATACTGTATAGAGTTTACAAGTAATGTCCTGTGTTTTCATATAATCTGTTTTCATTTGAGTTCATTTCAGCAATTTTAAATGTCAGTCTTAAATTTTCTATAGTGTGCCATCAAATATGAAGGGTTGGTGGAGGAACAAAGTTTGCTTAACACAGAACTGCTGCAAAGTTTTGTTCCAACCTCCTATCCAGATTAGACTTGACTTCAGTGCTTTGAGCACAACACAGTCTAAGCTTTTTTTTTCTTCCGAGCAGCTAACGTTTGGGCTCAATGATGTTGTACTGGTGCTCATTTGCTGTATGTTTGTGCGTTTTAATATCAWATGTATCTTATATGTATCTGCTACTTAAACATGAATGCAGGCATGATTTGAATGCTGTCAGCTAAAAATCAGCCATTAGCTCTAGTAGGTCATTAGCACTTGGTTTGACATTGAAAATACACACATAGAGCTAACAGTAAAGTCACATACACAGGCTACCCCGAGACTCCAGGTTTATCTTGTTGATGTTTGATACATTTTTGTACGTTCTGGAGTTTCATCTAAGAGCCAACAGGTGCTGTTTCTTTTCTTTATTTATTTAAATAAAGAAAAAAAAACCAACAACAAAACAAAAGATTAAATAAATAAAAAAAACGGAATGACTGGGAAGTGAAAGGCTTCATAAATTGGATGTTGTTGCAAATTTTAAGCCTTGATTTTTATCTACATATGACAAGTTATGATGTGTTTTACATCCTACCTGAACAGGATAAAATATAATGTTCTTATGAAAACATGGATTTCATTAGGACAGTTATCCGTCCGTTCATCCGTTTTCATCCACTTATCCGGGGTCGGGTCATGGGGGCAGCAGCCTAAGCAGAGAGACCCAGACTTCCCTCTTCTCAGCCTCTTGGGCCAGCTCGTCCGGAGGAATCCCAAGGCGTTCCCAGGCCAGCTGAGAAACATAGTCCCTCCAGCGTTTCCTGGGTCTTCCTCTGGGTCTCCTCCCAGTGGGACGTGCCCGGAACACCTCACCAGGGAGGTGTCCAGGAGGCATCCTAACCAGATGCCTGAGCCACCTCAACTGGCTCCTCTCGACGTGGAGGAGCAGCGGTTCTACTCTGAGTCCCTCCTGGATGACTGAGCTTCTCACCCTATCTCTATGGGAGAGCCCAGACACCCTGCAGAGGAAACTCATTTYGGCCGCTTGTATCCGCGACCTCATTCTTTCGGTCACTACCCAAAGCTCATGACCATAGATGAGGGTAGGAACGTAGACTGACCAGTAAACCGTGAGCTTTGCATTCTGGCTCAGCTCTYGTTTCACCACAACAGACCGGTACAGCGCCCGCATCACTGCAGATGCAGCACCCATCTACTTATTCATCTCGCGCTCTATTCTTCCCTCATTCGTGAACAAGACCATGAGGCAGTTATCACAGCTCTTTATTTAAATATAAAAACATAAAAATAATTTTGCTGATTATTTTTCTTTTCATGTCTTTGAAGAGTAGTCTACATACAGTATAGGGTTGAGTTCAGTGTAAAATTGTTTTATTCATTCTACCACCAAAACTGAGATGCATTTTGAGCCAATGCTGACCACATTCTGAATCTGAACATTAATTTGTGGGTGTTTGTGAAAAACTACAATGTATTTCCACTTTTTTTTTTGACTTTGCTCTTTTTTTTGCAGTCACATAGCATCACCATATTAATGATGAGAGGATGTTCTCACCTTACAAAGACACCGCTGGTCATTATGTCCAAACAAATAAATCTTTGTCTCATCTGAGCTAAAAWTCTCCTTTAGAAGGCTGTTCTTTGTTTGTGTAGTCAGCTGCAACCCYAGGTCAAGTTTCAAGATGTAATTTTTCAATCGGGGCTTCTTAATTGGATGCCAGCTTCTTAATTTGTGCTTACATACACACAACACTTGTTTTTGAAAGGCTTTCTGTTTCTAGCAGGCATTATTATAAAATTCACTTTCCCATAGCAGAAAAAATGAGTGCATCTTAGATTATCCTAATTATAATTTGTATTTTCATTTGCTACGAGGGGTGATGTTGTGATTCAGAGTTTTTCACTTGTTGTTGGGACATAATTCATCATAAACTAAGTGCCTTTGTTTCTTTGGGCCTCACTGCTGTGGCCTTGAAGTGTTGGTGGTGTTTGTGCTCACACTTTCCATTTATGTGTGTGTGGGAGTCCAGAAGAACAAGCAGCTGTTTCTTTATAAATGTCCCCTCAGTGCTCCTTTGGTATTCTGAGAGATGATGTGGAAGCATCACAATAACTTGTTGTGATTGGTTGCCATGAAAAACAAAACAATTTGAAACAAACAGTAAAACATCTCCTGTCCGTCCGTCCGTCCGTCCGTCCGTCCGTCCGTCCATCTTCTTCCATTTATCCGGGGTTGCGGGGGCAGCAGCCTAAGCAGAGAGACCCAGACTTCCCTCACCCCAGCCACTTGGGCCAGATCCTCTGGGGGAATCCCAAGGCGTTCCCAGGCCAGCCAGGAGACATAGTCCCTCCAGCGTGTCCTGGGTCTTCCTCTGGGCCTCCTCCCAGTGGGACGTGCCCGGAACACCTCACCAGGGAGGCGTTCAGGAGGTATCCTAACCAGAAGAGCCACCTCAACTGTCTCCTCTCGACGTGGAGGAGCAGCAACTCTACTCTGAGTCCCTCCCGGATGACTGAGCTTCTCACCCTATCTCTAAGGGAGAGCCCAGACACCCTGCGGAGGAAACTCATTTTGTCCGCTTGTATCCATGATCTCGTTCTTTCGATCACTACCCAAAGCTCGCGACCATAGATGAGGGTAGGAACGTGGCTCTCACTTCACCATGACAGACCGGTACAGCGCCCACATCACTGCAGATGCAGCACCAATCCACCTATCATTCTCCCACTCCATTCTTCCCCCATTCATTAACAAGACCCCGAGATGCCACTTTCCACTTGGGGCAGGACCTCCTCCCAGAGGT